TTCGCAAAAATAGGCAAGATTTAGAGATAAGTCAAGTCATTAAATATCACCTCTTGTTGCATTTCTATATCTGCATACGCCTATTCTTTATACATGTCAATTGCATCTGTTATGCTTTGTGCTAGTTTAACTTTGTTTCGATTTATGTGTTCTTCCTGCTTATTAGAGATAAATATTTTCATTAAAATGTTTATAACATTAATAGGATTAACATTCATACTTATAAAAAATAAATTTTACAAATGTTCAAAAAGGGAAACAATAATACAATTACCATATACTTATTTATTTTGCGACGCCTCCGAAAAGGTTGAAATGTATTTAATATACTATCTAACGAGTAAATAGGTTACATTCATATCTGTTACGTAATTGTATGATTGAATGAAATAGAAATTACTTCATTAGGAAATAGAAATTATTTTATACTTTTTAGTGCATTTCGAAGTCGGCGTATTGTTTTTCTTAAAATTATTTTATTCTGTAAATGAAATGATATAGGGTTCTCAATATTTTAGAGATTGGCCATTTTATTTGATACAACCGAATATACGGGGAATTGAGAAAATGGGTGGTTAAACTTTAGTATCATATTTTATTGTTCCTAAAAATGGAAAACTGCCATATAAACCGGACATCACAACTGTCATAAAATAATCTTCAAAACATATTTGACAACAGATAATGCTTTTAATACAAAATTTTTATTACAATCAATCATTGAACCTTTCACTGTCGACCGAATGAATTGTACATAAATAAACAATATCAAACATAACAGAAACTGCAAAAATTCAGTAAAATTTTAGAAAAAAAAAATTATTAAAAAAATGGTAGGAATATTTACAAAATTCTGAAACGAACATTTTACAAAATAAAGGAAGAATAAATAAATGATAATTGTTCTTCACAAGTGTTACTAAAAACGATATATGTATACTGCCTAACGTTCTTTCTCTGAACACAGATCTTCTATTTCTCCGTCCTTAGGGAACCTAATTCAAACTCTAACTAGATTACAGTCTTTAGGCACAGAGGGGGTTACTTTCATACAGCTAATTTCTGTGATATAAATAAGTTTGGGTTATACTTTTCGGTAAGGGTGTGCTATTGATTTTAACCCTGAACTGGGTAAATAATAGAAATCTTTGAAACATTTACAGTAACTTATTAATCAGATGAGTCTTCATTTGTTAATAACTTTTTCTTCATTCTTGATCAGTAAGTTAAATGTCGCAAACGTGCTCAGTACCTAACTATACTTACAGTAGTACAACCGTAACAATATTTCAAGGTCCAAATATTCGGACTTCTCGGATAAACATCTATAGTCTAATTATCAATAAAGCTACGTTAGGACCCTAATTTCGTGACACTGTTAAAAAATGATCGATAATTTACATCACAGCCTGGACCATGGAACGCAAACCACCAGCAGTCTCTGCCCCATAGATTCTGTTCCTAATTCTGCTTCCACACAAACGAAGCCCGGTGAATCTCAGATCCGGGGTACCGCAGCACCCGATCCCGTATATTTTCTTGCCACAACCGCAAATTTCCAGTTTTAGTCGGCAACTGACCGAAAGCCGAGTTACTGCAAATTGGCCAAAGCTTAGTCTGGTCAGGTTGAGGTGCATTACGAACAGTCCAACACCGGAAACAAAAGTTTGTCCCGCACACGTATGATCAATGACCGCATAGGAGAATGTACACCATTGCTGAGGTAGAAGCCGATTAATTGATCTACTTGTCGATTTATATCGCTGCCCACGACGTTGTGAGTTTCTTGGCTTTCATAACCTTCTCATCAATCGTGCTGCCATCTAGCTAGTCTGAAATAGCGCAGCGCTAACCTCGTTACCCTTTTCACATCGACTTTGGGATACAACAAGACCTCGGGAAATTGCTCTTCGTTGCTGGCCTCGAAGATTAATCACGCGCGACCTATCGATTGCCTGCATGAATGTCCAGCGTTTTTCCATCGGCATTCCTCTCACGAACTGAACGGGGTCGAAACGTTTGAAACGAGAACGAGCCAAAAGGCAGGATAAGAGCAAATGAGGTAGAACGCAGTTTGTGGGGCTTGAATGGGGATTATTGGATATTGATACACGCACTTCGGTTAAGTGTGCTATGTAACAACAAACAATTCAACCGATGAAATTTATGGCCTTTCGAATTTGAGCAACTAATGTAAACTAAAGTGAATTAACGAATAAATATATATTTAAAGATATTTTTCAATTCATTCATTTTGGAAAATGTAACGGGCCTTTTAATTAGTAATATGTACAAGATGTAACATTAAGTAATATATATAAAATATAACATTAGAAATGCATTTTGACGACAGATCAAGGATTCGAAGATAATGAGAATCTTATTTTTTATTTTAAAATATACATGTAAATGTTACAAAAAATATTATGTATGTAAATGTCTGTTTGGGCTATGGATATATAATTTTAAAAGAGCGGTATTGTTAGACTAGAATTTTTATTTGGGTGCATATCTTTCTTCCATCAAAATCTCAAGTTTAAGCAAGTCTCGAAATTAATTCAAAAATGTAAATACCGCATGCATGTGTTTTAATACCTCAATCATTTATCGTTATCTAAAAAACTTGTTAATTAAGTCATCTTTTTATATAATTTTAAAAAATTAAGCGGGTTAGAAACCTTTTACGACGAAACTGAAAAACACCGAAGAAAATTAGTTATCTTTGTTCTGTAAAAGAAGCACAAAAACAAGTAATATCATTATTGCAAAATTTGAGGTAAACAAATAGTATCTTCCCACGTTTCCTCTTTATAAATGTTTTTTGTTAGATTATATGGAGTACTACGAACCTCGGTTTTCGATATTAAACATTTTTCATTTCTATAAAAATAACATTCTTGTATATTTTTGATTTTTATAAAATTCATATTACAAAATCAAACTCTGCAGCTCATCGTATAGTTAATATTTTGAAGTCGGAAGCAAAAGAAAATATTACTTCTTTGTCTGAAATTTTGGGAGCATCGAAGTTGCTGTATTCATAGTCATAAAGATATATATGACATATGACATACGGTTATTTTTAAGATATTTTTACTTAAAACTTTAAACGCTAATTAATAGTAATGATTTCTTGTTTTCTTTAGACGATATAAATATGTAGGGTGTTAAAATTGTATCATATCTTCTTGGCACCATTCGATAGGAGATGAACTCTAACAAGAATGTCGAATATTAAATTTCGATATATTACATAGTTTCACCACAACTAACTATTGGAAAATAACGTAATTAGTTTACTACAGTACATATCAGAAATTTAGTTGCTTATTTTTTTTAATAAAGTGCAACTTTTAAGGAATTTTTGTTTAGTTTTTTCTGCCGTATTATCGCTGTAATTATATCCCATATTGTATATGTATGTATCGTAATCGTTTATTATATATTGAATTGTCATTTCATCCCGTTTTTATTAATGGTATCAGTATCAATTTCATTTAATGTTAGTAATTAAAAAATTTGTGTATGGTTAGTAATTAAAAAATTTGATGTTGGTTAGTGATAACAAAAAAATTAATTTGTCGATAATAATTGTTTTTAAATGTTAGTCAACAATAATGGTTGTAGATACTCGGAGAAAGTTCTAACCATATTGTATTACGTTATGATTGTTAACTTGGTAGTTTTATTTTGTTCGCGTGTGCTGGCTGAATATCATTGTCCTCCGTACAGAAAGATTCAGATTTATGAGAATATTATAATTACAAATGAATTTTCAATCTATATTTATTGATAATCTTTTAGTAAATAATTGGCAGCTGAAACTTTCCGAATGTTACTCGGAAGGGTTATAACATATGTATGTAGGATTGGGTCTAAAGGGAATTGTTGAATAAAGGTTCGTTACACGTTGGTCTTCAATAACGATGTATTATAGTCTAATAATAAACGAAATAATTACAAGGATAATTGGGAATAATCACAAGAATGTGTCGATACCGGTCTATTCACGTTACCGATCGCTTTTTGACTGTTCGTCAGAAATTTAATTTCTTTTGTTCTTTTTGCCATTTCTCTCGCATTCCTTTGCACGCACATACGCACCCACCTATACTCGTTCATACGCTCTTTCACATACCTTCATGTATGCTCTCTTACATTCTCCCATTTGCACATTCATACATACGCGCATTCCCTGATATATAATAGTTTTTACTAGATTTTAATAATAATGCACCTACATTTATTACAATATAAAATCTGCATGAATATTACAATACAATAAAAAAGAACAAATTAGAAAGAATGAAAATCTAGTAAAATGAGTAACTCGTTTTGGAATATGAATCCTGTTCTATACTTGCAAATATATATCAACCAATTTATTACATAATCTGGATTCAATTTTATTCGTTCATGAATATTTAATAATGAAGGTCTTTCTTCTGTCTGTTGATTATTCTTCTAAGTTTTAAAGCTTCAAGTAAAAACCGTTTTAATACGTTACTAATAACGTTTTAAATGTCCCTAAGGACATCGTTTAATAATGCAGCATCTATTTTGCTTGAATTTTCTTCGAAAAACAAATAATGACTTAATATTTTCACAATTTCATGCTTCGTTATTTCACAATCTGCTCCTGTGGATAGCAAGGGTAATTTTAAGAAGGTTGATATATTAAGTAAATTCAAATTAGCTAACATGACAAGTAAGGGCCATATGAATTTATTCCTATATTCGAGTAAAATGATATTAGATATAACTTCACAGTACAACTGTATCTTTAAGGGGTAACACCACTCTAGAGCCCGAAAAAGAGGCCTAACTTTGACAATTTTTTTTGGAAGAACGATAAACGGAAAAGAATTTCTTTTCAGAGGGTTTATTTAACACATATTGAACTACAAAAAAATATTTTTTTATTGTCAGTTTCGTATAAAATGGTGGCGACAGAGCCCATCGTCGGAGACACGTTTTGGAAAAACACCGCCACGGGAGGATGGATTTCTCGCCATGTGTGAGTCCCGGAATAAAAACTGAAAAAAATTTAGAATCTGTATACCATTGGCTATAAAAGTACGTAGGGGTTTTTAGATTAATCAATTTTTGTGGAAGTTATGCGTTTTTTAAGAAACGAATCGACTTTTTGCATGGAAAGTGAGCATTGAATTGTTTATAAAATAAGAGTTTGCATTGTTGTGAAGCTCTTCGAAGGACAATATTGTTGTGCAGCTACTGTAAAAATTTCAGTTCAATCCATGCAATAGTTACCGAGAAATCCATCCTCCCAGTTTGAAGAAACTGGTTTCGAGAAAAACGCGTTTGAAGTTTTATGAACATTTTGATCCTGAAATTCTCTATTCACCGCTAATCTGCAATGCTTGTACTTTACATTTGGCTATCCAGATCAGTGTTTGCCATCTTCTCCAGCTTTCTGTATGCTTCTCTTTGTTTTGTAGGTAACAAGTAAACTTATTATTTTAAATGATAATAATAATATGAAAGCGATGAATTGCAGCATACCACGCGAGTACTCAGTGCGCGCTCTGAGACGCTGCGGCAAAGTTGATAATTGAACCACTTAAAATTTGTTTTTTACTATAAATCAAACGGCATTCTGTTCTTAAGACCCTAAAGTATTGTTTTAGCAAAGAAAAAAAAATCAACTTTCTGAAAATCTTAGAGTGGTGTTACCCCTTAATTAGAGCATAACTATATATTAATATAATACAGTAAATATTCGATATGTGCATGAATGACCTGTACGATATGTGCACCAAAGTTATCCTCACCACTGCGAGGAAGACCCCTCTAGACGCCGCGAAGCTCGATCGCCGAGAAATGTAACATGACCCGGGGTGAGATATATCCGTGAAGCAATACATATACAAATATAAAACTTTTTTGTTTTTGATTTTCTCGATATCCAACTTTTACCAATAGATTCTTTACGTTTTTTAACCGACTTCGAAAAAGGAGGAGGTTACTCAATTCGATCAGTATATTTTTTTTTTTCTATGTGTGCCCGCCGATTACGCCTAGCTGGATGGACCGATCAGAACGAAACCTTTTGCATCTGGTAGGTTCTGACTCCCCATTGGTACCATTATCAAAAAATTTTTCATTTTTTTATTGCAAAGTATTGTTATTGCAAAAAAACCGGTAACTTTTGAAATAAAGTTTTCTCGATTTTAGTGCACTTTTAATATCTTATCACGGACATGATTCTAAACAATTTTGTTCATATACAAATTTCGCGGAAAGGTTTAGTTAGTTTAGTCGAGATATTAGCGAAAAAT